CAGTTCTGCATTGTAAGTAAGGATGTTGAGGGCCCACCTACAAACTGGAGCATGGGACAGAAGAAAAGAGCATCGGCTGCCAGAGGAGCGAGGGATAAGGTTACGTTAAACACTTTTTATACTCTCCACAGCGCAAAATAAGCACACTGCATGGGTCCCTTTTATGATTTAGAAAATATAAATTCTGATTGATATCTTTAAGTTATTTTATTTTTTATTTTGTGGTGAGAGGGAAAATGTATATGTAAATTGAGGTCAGTTAAGGTTTCCTAGTTAGTGCAACCTCTATTATAAAATGTGATCTGAAGCAATATTGTTGGAATCCCTCCTTTCTCCATCTTTTTGCATAGAATAGAAAATATGACTTACATTTTCATTCAAAAACTGCCCATTACAAACTGTTATGCTCGCAAAATATACTTAGAAATACAAATACACACACACTCAAACTAAAAAAAAAAATGTTAAAGCATCCCAAAATTGTAGTACACAATAAAAAATACAAGAAACCCTTACCAATGACTTGCCACCTAGTTTTAATAGTTAAATTGGATGTATAATCAAAACTTTTTTGTTTAGTTTTAGATAAAATATTGAAGATAAAAATCCTATCACAACAGATGTAAGCTAAAGTGAGAGAAAAACTCTGCAAAGTGAGAAGCATTCCAGTGTTAGATAGTTGTCAGTAGAGCAAGTGTTACCATTGGAAATTTCCCCTCACCTCTTCCAATGCCAATGGTAAAATGTAGGATTTATTTCAGTGATGGGCATCACCAGGAGGGGGAGACTAAGTAATGCTAGAGACTCTGGTGCAGCTGTACATGGTAGCCAATCACCTTCTAACTTCAGCTTGTTTAATTAAGCTTTGACACTAAAACCTGGAAACTGGTTTCTGTGAAGATCTGCACCAGATTTTGCATGCTCCAGTTTTAGTAAATCAATCCCAAAGAGAAGATGAGTCCACCTGATCATGACCAGGGCAGAATACTAACCTGCCAGAGGTTTTAGCCCCTCCCTATTCTATCCAAAACATAAAAACAAAGTATCTTGTTCCTTATTTCAGTTTCCATAACTATCCTCTTTCTTAGTTTGTTTGTTTTTATTTTCTATTCTAAACTCTTTTTATAGCCTTATGGATATGTCTTCACATTTTTTTCCTCTTTTTTTTTTTTAAATATGAAAGTATGTAATCTAGTCATACAGGTAGGAGCTGTTGCCATACATTCTCTTTGCTCATTTGTTCACTGATACATCATCATACCTGTGGGCAGGGGCGGACTGACAACTCATGGGGCCCCCCGGCAATAGGGGATCATGAGGCCCCTGTGTCCTTGCCCAAACTCAAAAAAGCCTATAAAAAGGTACCAGGGGCATCTCGTGGGGCCCCCTACTGACCCCGGGCCCTCAGGCAGTGCCCAAGTTTCCAAAAGGTCAGTCCTCCCCTGCCTGTGGGATGCCCAGTTTCTGGAGCAGTCTTTATGGATTTAAAATGTTAGTTTTTGACTAGAAAAATCTTCAGTAGAAAGCATTAAGGAGTTTAAATTGCTGAAATCCAGTTTTCCAATCCAGAAAAATCCCACTTACCCGAGGGAAGAAAAAATGACAGGTCTTTGTTAGGATCATCTCAGCTCGAAGGTGCACGGGGGGGGGAGTGTGGAAGCAACTGCAAAATCTAATAGCATAAGCAGTAAAATAGTGTATTTCCAAACAAAGGGGACATATGATGGGATCATAAAGGAAGATAAAAGTCAAATAAATAAAAAAGATTTGAGCTAGAACAATTAGATCCTAGATGTAAAAAAAAAGAAAAAAAAGGTAACCAATTAAATAATCAGTTATTTTTAAATACAGCTAAAAGCAGCATGGGTAAGACCACAGTAGCAACAGAGCTAAAAAGAAATTGGAAAGAGATTAATGAAAAATATGAGATCGTAAGGATAGCACTGCTTCCATTGCTGCTTGTTATGAAAAATCTAAATTATCCTTTCTTTTTGCATCTTGGCTCTTTCCCTTGCTGGTAATATGCCATATTACAAATTCATCCAGGCTTTACTCACAGGTGACATTGCATTAAATGCGTGCATTCAGTTATAAGAAACATTCGGATTCCTGTATACTGTATACTGTATTTGTTATGTACTAAGTAAAAGTATGGCTGTGTCAGATATATTCATCCCTAGTGACTGCATTTTAAATTTAAATTAAAGAGGTTTATCACTTAATTAGAGCTGATAATACGATGCTTACAAGCTGACCTAACAGTCACCTCTGGCAATAAATGTGAATGTCTGTAAATGTTGTCATTGTTAATTTTATCATCATGATCTTGGCATACAAATTCTCAAGTCATGTACAGGTAAATGACCTTCAGAATACATGAATAATTGGTATTATGAAAAAATGACCACAAACAACTTAATTTCACAATTTTGTTGTGTCCTCTTGTACCTGTAATATTGAATTGCTACATTCACCTGCTTATCCTTACTTGGCAGGATTTTCTCAATGTCAACCCCAAAAATTATATTCTTAGTGAAGTGGTTTTCTTATATTTAAATGTAGAAGGGCTTAAATTCCCCTTTATAGTTTAAAGATACAGTCTAGTCAAAACTTAAAGTTAATCTTTGGGATCAATACAGGAATAACAAGTTGAGTTTTTTTTACAAATAAGGCCAGTCCCCCTCCCTACCTCCCTTACTACAGTAAACTCTTTTCAAAATCAGACGCAAGGAAAACACAATATTAACCAATGGAATAGGGATTTAAAATATACAAATCCTAAATCAAGAAATGCAATCTCCATTAACACTATACAAATTTGTAATGATCACGATAAATCTTTATTATGCTTATACAGATATTTAAAATCAATTAAAATCACAAACTAGACTGCCATTCCATGATTATATAGAAAACACAGGGGTTGATTTACTAAAGGTAAATAGGCTGTGCCAGGGACGTAGATAAGGGGGGGGTTAGGGGTCCCCCCCTCGCAGAGCCTCCTACCAAAATGTCCAGTCAGTGTCCCTCCTGCCATGCTGCTCAGCCTCAGCAACAGTGCAGCAGAAGCAGTGAGAGCTGCAGTGATCTGTCAGCTAAAGAGCTGTTGATAAGATGCAATCCAAAAGACAAACAAATGTAACCAGCGCTCAAATCTTCATGCAGACTAGGAAATTGAAAATGCCAAACAGAGAGGTGCTGCCTTTCAAAGATCGGGAAATCTGAATACTGGTGAACAAAAACAGACAAGGGCGCACTCTCATCGTGCATTACCGTGGAGATCCACATATTTATTAAATTAAATAGATATTTACTCACAAACCAACGAGAATTAAAAGCAGAAAGAGTGGTCCGCAATAACAGCGGATGCAATGCTGTGCCCTTGATATGGATAAGCTGACGCGTTTCGGGAGATGAACTCCCTTCCTCAGAGCTCTGAGCTTATCCATATCAAGGGCACAGCATTGCATCCGCTGGTTTTGCGGACCACTCTTTCTGCTTTTAATTCCCATTGGTTTGTGAATATATATCTATTTCATTTAATAAATATGTGGATCTCCACGGTAATGCACGATGAGAGTGCGCCCTTGGCTGCTGTTAAGATGTTACAGGGCCCAGAGACCTGAAACTCGAGCTCCAGGCATCTACCCACCATCTCCTGTGCGGTGCTCGGATTGCAGTGCACACAAACACCGGCAACTGGCAGTGCACAACCGAAGGTTCTCCGACTCCTTCTCAGCTCTGTGTCTTAAAACACAGCCGAATGGAGCCTGAGAATGCAAACGTTTTCCAGTCTCTGTGCTGCACTGAATCTGAGGTCTGGTAAGTGGAGAGACATAGAACTTCTGTTTGGGGGAAGGAGGGGGTGAAAATTGCAGCTTGGGGAGTTTCTTTTAGAGAAGGGATTAGGAAAGTGGTGGTTTTGCTTTTGAGGAAGAGGGGAGTTTCTTGTGGGGAAAGTTTACAGGGGGTTTCTTGGGGAAAGTAAGAGCAGGAGCAGGGAGTTTCTTGTGGGAAAGTTTACAGGGGGTTGGCTAAGAGCAGGGAGTTTCTTGTGGGAAAGTTTACAGGGGGTTGGCTAAGAGCAGGGAGTTTCTTGTGGGAAAGTTTACAGGGAGTTGGCTAAGAGCAGGGAGTTTCTTGTGGGAAAGTTTACAGGGGGTTGGCTAAGAGCAGGGGGTTTCTTGTGGGAAAGTTTACAGGGGGTTGGCTAAGAGCAGGGAGTTTCTTGTGGGAAAGTTTACAGGGGGTTGGCTAAGAGCAGGAACTTGCTTCTGGAAGGAGAGTTTACTTGAATGAAGGGATATTTCTTCAGGATTAGGAATTGTTGGGGTGGGGCGGGGTTTCTTAGGAGGGAGAGAGGGAATGTTTTTCCTTTTATGGGATGCTTGGAGGGGCATATTTTTGTTTTTAGGGGGTTGCTGGAAGGAATGGGAAGCTTTATGCAAACATTTTTACCTAGCGTAGTGAGGATTTTTAATGGCAGTCCCAGCCAATGATTCATGGCTAGGACCTGCTGGTCAGCTGTGTCCTGTCACAGCCCAGAGCTCTGTGTTGAAAATCAACATAGAGCTCTGTACAGAGGGAACAATCTCTCTGTTTCTCATCCCAGAAACTAAGAGATCATTAGTAAAAAAACAGCACACTTTGCATATATTACACATAGTTAGGCACACATTTAACCCCTTACTCTCCCTTGATGTTAACCCCTTCCCAGCCAGTGTCATTAATACAGTGACAGTGTATAGTATTATTACTGATCACAGTATTAATGTCACTGGAGATGCCAGTGGCAGTTAGTTCCCCCAGCGTCAGTTAGTGTCAGGTTGCCTCTGCAGTATCACAGTCCCATTATAAATTGCTGATTGCCGCCATTAGTAGTATAAAAAATACAAATTCCACTATACACTATATTGCCACAAGTATTGGGACACCCCTTCAAATCATTGGATTCAGGTTTTCAAATCCCCTCCATGGCCACAGGTATATAAATCAAGCAGCTAGGCATGCAGACTGCTTCTACAAACATTTGTGAAAGAATGGGGCAAGAGTTCAATGAATTTAAGCATGCTACTGTGATAGGTTGCCACCTGTGCAATAAGTCCATCCATGACATTTCCTAAATTTACTAAATATTCCACTCTCAACTGTTAGTGGTATTATGACAAAGTGGAAGCAACTGGGAGCAACAGTAAGTCAGCCATGAAGTGGTAGACCTCGTAAAATGACAGAGGAGGTCAGCGCATGCTGTGTGCAGAAGTCACCAACTGTCTGCAGAGCCTGTCTAAAGACCTCCAAGCAACATGTGGCCTTCAGATTATCACAACAACAGTGCTTAGAGAGTTTCATGGAATGTGTTTCCATGGACGAGCAGTGCAATGCAAAGCATCGGATGCAGTGGTGTAAAGCACACCGCCACTGGACTCTAGAGCAGTGGAGACGTGTTCTCTGGAGTGACCAATTACGGTGGACGTGTCTAGATTTGGCGGTTGCCTGGAGAACAGTACTTGCCTGACTGCATTGTGCCAAATGTAAAGTTTGATGAAGGGGGGATTATGGTGTGGGGTTGTTTTTCAGGGGTTGGGCTTGGCCCCTTAGTTCCAGTGAAGGGAACTCTGAGGACATGGATGAGCGAGTTTAGGGTGGAGGAACTTGACTGGCCTGCAATCCTGACCTCAACCCTATAAAACACCTTTGGGATGAATTAGGTCTTCTCTTCCGACATCAGTGCCTGACCTCACAACTGTGCTTCTGGAAGAATGGTCAAACATTCCCATAGACACCCTCCTAAACCTTGTGGACAGCTTTCCCAGAAGAGTTGAAGCTGTTATGCAAAGGGTGAGCAAACTCAATATTGAACCCTACGGACTAAGACTGGGATGCCACTAAAGTTCATGTGCATGTAAAGGCAGGCGCCCCAATACTTTTGGCAATATAGTGTATACACCATAGTTTGTAGACGCTATAACATTAATGGAAACCATTCAAAACACACCTCATTGAGATTTGTTTTTAATCAAAAACAAGTACCAGAATATATTTTGCCAAAAAATATATGAAGAAATTTATTTTTTTATTTTTTTTTCTATGGGATAAAAATTTTTTCATTAATATTGCAAAAAATAAGAAACCCAGTGGTGATCAAAAAAACTCCAAAAGAAAGTTCTATTTTTGTGAAAAAGGATATAAATTTTGTTTGGGTACAGCTTTGCATGACCACGCAATTGTCAGTTAAAGTAACAGAGTGCTGAATAGCAAAAAATGGCCTGGTCATGAAGGGGGTAAATCTTCTGAAGGGCAAGTGGTTAGTTAAGCCTGACCTCTGTATTCTACATGTATTCTACATGGTTGGCTGTACATAGCATACTCCTGATCACTGGACCATGTATACTGGGCTGTACTCTAAAGGCAAATTCCATCTTTAGCAAACATGTAAGAAATGCATTCACTTTTAATAAAAAATGAAATGCCCTATGCAATGCTTCGGTTGCACAGTAAGTACAGTAAGGTTGCCTATTATCCATTCCTAATACGCCACCTTAGCAAGTGCTAAGGTTACCACCTCATCCCTTTAAAACCGAACACATATAATTTAAACAGTTTTTGCAGCTCCCTTGCACCTTCTGCTTAATCGTTCCTGATCCTAGATTGCCTCTTCTCTGCTACAGGTAGCTTCCCATCATATTTCTTATTTGGGTATCAAGATAAGGAGGGACCCAGCATCCCAGTTTGTCTCAACTTTCCCCCAGTCTTTGAGAAGATCATTTGTGAATTAGAGAATTTGACCTCTCTCCCCCCCCTTTCATTCTTTGGTAGATGCCATCTTTTTAAAATGGTGTATTTTGCAAGGCTCTTATATCCTCTGCAAACGCTGCCCTTATTACTGAAGCATAATAATATTCAAATGTTGCACAAATCACTGATAAAATTTTGGTGGCTTTCCCTCCGCAAGCTATATCTACCGAAGTGTTACTGGGGAATTGGTCTACCCAATATCCGTCTATATAATCTGGCCTGTCTCCTTAGGCAAGGGCTGGACTGGCTGACTCGTAAATCTATGTACTCCAATTACATGCTGGAAGCAGCTCTGGCCTAGCCCTTTAATTTGCCGCTTAAACCGCTACCCTCTCATTTAAAACTAAATTCGCTCATCCGTGACACGGTGATAGCCTGGCAGAAAATATGCAAGTTGACTGGTGTTTCTCCCACCATCTCTACTTGGAAATCCACAGTTCTCTCTGGGTATGACCCATGAAGCCTTCGTTTCTTGGTCTTCCAAGAGGCTCAAGGATGTTGCCTCTTTATGGGATCCCAGATCTGGAACTCTTCGCTTCTTCACGGAGGTCTCCAAATGGTTTTGCCTCCCCTCTCACCATATGTTTTACTATCTGCAGTTGGCTAATTTCCTTAGATCACAGCTTAAGGGAGGAGGGGTGGACCTCACTCACCCATTGCTTTATAATGCAATAAAACAAAATCAGTACTCTTATCTCCTCCTTGTATCCACAGCTTCTATGACACAACTCATCAACGGTCAGTGGCTTTTTATTTAAGGGCTGGTCCAAGGACATCCCGGGGTTGGATGATTCTACTATAATTTCGGGGGTTACAACACGGTGCGTAAACATATTATTAATGAATAATGGAGAGAGACCCGATTTAAACTTATCCATAGGGCATTCATACCGGCTTTGATGGACATCTAATCCCTGCCGTCTGCTGTCTGTTCTTGGTGTGGGGTTCCTAGGCCCACCCTCTTCCATTGGTTCTGGCTGTGTCACCTATTCAGGCTTATTGGACTCGCGTTATACAATATATATTTGGAATCACCAAAACGCACATTCCTCATGATCCGCTATTCTGTTTATTTAGTGTCGCTATGACCATGGCCACTGCTGCACCCAGCACTGCTCAGACTTGGTCTTTACTCCCGTGGATTCACTTGTGTTTATTATCTGCCAGGAGAGTGTTACTGAGGGCCTGGCTCTCCCCGCACAATCCAACCCTAGTGTCTGTTAAGAAAGATCTGAAATCTCTTGGAAAAATTGAATACTCTCGTTCAGAATTTTGGTCTCACCAAACGATTTTTCACACACTGGAGTGCATTTATAGAACATACTTTTTCACAGCATGAAATAAGACACCTTATGACCACTTTTCAGTTTACTGCTTGATATGCTAAGTCCGATCTGGCAAACACTTTAAGTAAACTGAAAATTCCTGATTCCCCTCTTGTTGTGGGGAACAACCCCCCTCATCCCAAGGGGATACTCATTATGCCTATCTGGTAATCATGGGGAGAAAATAGTTTTGAAATTCCTTTCTTTCCCATGAGATCTATCAAGTCCCAACGTTATAGCTATGAACAAACCTAACTGAATCTGCTATGCCTTTGCAAATGATGAGTCTGCTTCTGTTATACTGAGCCTGACAGGTGCTAATTTCGGACGGAAATGAGGTGTTCCAGTCTCAAATTCGGCCTTCTCTTATGTGTTTCTGTATATGATATATATCACGCTGAGGCCGTGAGTCTCTGTGCAAGAATGGCATGGCAGGCAACTTTCCACCAGCATTTTTGCTCTGTTTTTTGTTTTTTTTTTTTCTCTGCTTTTATTATTTTCTTCAGGTTATAGGACAGATTCTCCTTTGATGTTCTATCTTTCAGATTGCAAAATATTCTTGCTGTAATGAACACGATTTCTGCTGTCAATATGTTCTGATTTCCCGCTTGTTTTCTGTCAGAACTTGTCGTTTTCTTACCCTGTGAAATTGTTAAAACATGAATAAAGATAACTTTAAAAAAAAAAACAGAAAACAACAGGTGCACTAGATGGGCAACAATGAGATGGCCCCCAAAACAGGAACGGCTTTACAGGAGGAGGCCACTAACTTTTTCTTCCCTACACATCTTTTCTGACTGTTTTTCACTAGGTTTGCATTTGGATAGGGTCAGGGTCACTATTGGTAGCATGAGGCGATACCTGGACTCTACAGAGGTTGCACAGGTAGTCCAACTCCTTCAGAATAGCACATCAGTACATGCCATTGCCAGAAGGTTTGCTGCGTCTTCCAGCACTTTCTCAAGAGCACGGAGGAGATTCCAGGAGACAGACAGTTACTCTAGGAGAGCTGGCCAGGGCCGTAGTAGGTCCTTAACCCATCAGCAAGACTGGTATCTGCTGCTTTGTGCAAAGAGAAACAGGATGAGCACTGCCAGAGCCCTACAAAATGACCTCCAACAGGCCACTGGTGTGAATGTCTCTGACCAAACAATCAGAAACAGACTTCATGAGGGTGGCCTGAGGGCTCGACATCCTCTAGTGGGCACTGTGCTCAGTGTCCAGCACGATAGATCTTGATTGGCAATTGCCATTGAACACCAGAATTTGTCAGGTCTGCCACTGGTGCCCTATTCTTTTCACAGAGGAGAGAAGGTTCACCCAGAGAACATGTGAAAGACATGAAAGGGTCTGGAGAAGCTGTGGAGTATGTTATGCTGCCTGTAACACCGTTCAGCATGACCATTTTGGTGGTGGGTCAGTGATGGTCTGGGGAGGCATATCCATGGAGGGACACACAGACCTCTACAGGCTAGACAGTGGCACCCTGACTGCCATTAGGTATTGGGATGAAATCTTTGGACCCATTATCAGACCCTATGCTGCTGCTCCAGTGGGTCCTGGGTTCTCCTGGTGCACAACAATGCCTGGTCTCATGTGGTGAGAGTATGCAGGCAGTTCCTGGAGGATGAAGGAATTGATACCATTGAATGGCCCCCTAAATCCGATAGAACACCTCTGGGATATTATGCTTTGGTCCATCCAACGCCGCCAGGTTGCACCTCAGACTGTCCAGGAGCTCAGTGATGCCCCGGTCCAGGTTTGGGAGGAAATACCTCAGGACACCATCCATTGTCTCATTAGGAGCGTGCCCCGACATTGTCAGGCATGTATACAAGCACATGGGGGCCATACAAAATACTGAGTACCATTTTGAGTTTCTGCAATGAAATTTCAGCAAAATGGACTAGCCTGCTGCATCCTTTTTTCACTTAGATTTTCAGTGTATCTTTGAATTTAGTCCTCTGTATGCTGATCATTTTCATTTTCAGCAAACAATGGGGCATCCTTACGTTTCTAATACATTACCAGGTCCGTATCAGTATAGATATCCAGCATGATATTTTTCACATTGAGATCTAATGTGTTTTCAAAGTGTCTTTTTAAGTTTTGGGGGGCAGTGTATAATAAGAATCTTGGAAGGATGGTCAGCTACTGTAAATATTAAGAAATGAGTGTAACTATGTATAAGTTGAAGCACTAGAGGTATCAAGTGAGTAGGAGTAATCATCGAGTATATGATAACCACTAACCGGCACAAACAAAGCATATGGTGTACAAACATGTAACATGCGGATCAATTATAGTGAAATTCCAGGCACTTACTGGAATTTCACCAAAAATCCTCTCAGGACCTGATGGTCTGGGTCATTGAAGCCATATCCCATGACCTACCAACAGCAGAACATTTTAAAC